CATGCCAGCAAATCTGTCTGGAATCTGCTAATCGGTGATGTAGCCAGGATTGGATAAGACTGATCAGTTCAGTAAATCAAGCAAAAAATATGTGAAAGGAAGGATAGCCAGTACGGGCTGCACTTACACCCGGACGAAGCCACTCGACATATTTTGGGGGTCTTCTGCTGTAGAACAAACTGGAATCAGCAGCCGGAAATTCAGGATCTTCGAACAGTGAGTTCGACTGAAAATCAATTTTAAAAATAATTCATTTGTATAGCCAAACGACATATCATTCGTTGTGCGGGCCTATTGAAACAAAGATGAGAGAAAATCTGGGAAAAAAACCGGGTATTTTTTAGCTGAAAATGAATTTAAAAAAAAAAATACGATAGCCTGCATACAAAAAGCAACAGAAAAGTCCTGCTAGTCGATGACAAAACCAAGTACTGTTCACCGATGTAAGCAGGCTGGGAAACATACTAAATTCATAACTTTACTGCATTATGAATATGATTCTTAAATTTAGACCAAACCAAGACTGCTGAAATGTCACTTTTTTAGAGCAAGCTAGAGGCATAGAAAATGAATAAGCAAATTTCCCTGCTGTCCGCTCCTAGTTCCATTCAAAACCCAAGCAGCAATGCACCAGAGTTACTCTTGTGATCACGTACTTTTACACTAAACTTTAAGCAATTAGGTCGTGTATGTACGGTTGTTGCTTTGCACTTAAATTGCTCCTCGTTACCGTAATCGCTGTATAGTTTGCTTAAGGGACAATGAAAAATTTCCGTTCAATGGTCATTCACTGAAAATGACCTAACTACCCTAGTTTCCGAATCAGGTGATCCTCCAACCAAAAATTTCACGTGCCAGTACGTGAGAACCATGCATGTTTGGAGACTGAGTTTGAAACCCGTAAATCGCGCACAGACAGAGGATGTCTACCTAGGATTTCAGTTCCCTAACTTGCTTAGCCTCTAATTAGAAATATTCTCGCCAAAACTTCCACGTGTCCGTACGTGGGAAGCTCGCATACCCGAAAGATAAAATTTGAGAATTTCAAGTTGCATGTGGACAGAGAAAATCCTCTTGAAATTTCAGCCTCTCCGGATCAACAGTTAGCGATTATCCCCACGCACTCGGATTCACACTTGCTTATAAGTTGGCACTGTGATCTTCGGCTAAGAGTCACTGGTAAAGTTTCTGTGCCAAAGCCTGCTTGGTTGTCAAGTTGAACTACCTGGAGAGACGGGTATTTCAATATACATGCATATGTATACATAAATACACACAAACGCATACAAACACACACTTCATGGGCCGTCATTGTATAGATGCAAAACGCATAAAAAGTTCCAGCAGCAAAAAGAAATTAAAGTGATCAAGCCAACCTGCAAGCAACGATCACGTTCCTCATAGAAGTCCAAAGCTTCAGCCCTGCGAGAAGGTGAAGGCGGGCGTGGAACCGGGCGTGGCTCTCGCGGAATATACGGATCTACCTGGAAGAGTTACCCAAAAATTGATAGGTACAAAGAATCGATCCAAAACTCAAAAAATCAGGTGAAAAAGGAATCCAAAAACCTGGAAAATGAATATTTAGGTAGTGAAAATGGACCAAAGTTGGCTTTGAATGATTTCTTCACATTTTAAGGTAGAAGTAAATCCGACTAAAAGGACTAAATGAACGAAAATTTATCGCGCTTTTACCGGACAACTACATTCTGGCAAAAAATGAATGCAAACAAATTAATAATTTTTGGAAAAGAAATCCAGTTTTCTTATAGAAAATACCTATTAAACGAAACAATATACAATGCTAGGTTGCACACGCCAGAATACTGCTAAGTATGGATTTTTTTCTGCATAAGACTTGAAATCAGCATCACAGCAATTATCTTCCAACAAAAAAAGGAACCTTTCGGCGGAATTTTCCGGAAACGATATTGTCGAGAACAATTTTACCGATGTCTGACAGCTTATTATCCTTTCCACCAAGCTGGAAGAGGACATTACCAGCAATGGCACCAATAATGCGCCCTGTATTTGGGTCAACACCGAGAAAACGATGCGCCGCAGTGCCGATGAGGCCCGAGAGCACCTCGATAACGCCACCTTGGAGAAGGTTTGACGCAACATTGTCC